CCATGAATTTCTATCCCACCAGATATTACAACATCTAGAGAATCATAAATGCGTACAGGAAATTCTGAAATAAATTGTTGTATTTATTCAGGAGAGAAACTTAGAAGAAAACGCAGAACTATACTTTTACAAAGAATAGAATAGCAAGATATAATGTGGTGAAGACGAAAGAGAGGATTTCGATAACTATTTCACAAAAACGCAATCTAGTAAAAGGTTTTGCAATTATTATACTACTTTTAAATGTTTGGTGCTAAGTGCTGTTAACAACTCTTTCACTCATAATTTAACTTTATAGTCATGAAAACGTTTACACGTTAATGGTAATATTAAGATTATTAATTGCAGAAAACTTCTGCTTTTCTTTATATTATTTACTTGATTTTTATCGTATAGATAAGATTTATCATAAAATATGATATATAGAGTTTATTTTATAACAGTGCATACTTACTCGCTTTTTCATTGGGTGTATTTTGTATTTGTTCACTGTGAAATTTAGGATCGATCACTACTTTACGAATTCTTATTGGTACAAAAAGATGTCTCGAATCTATTGAGAGAATCTTCATTTGCAACATGTTGTCGATAAACGCTACCCAATTTTTTGACCACTTTATATGTCCTACTTTTGCTGTAATTGATGCACTTTCCAGGCCTTGAAATACACCGGAATATTGGTACCCACGAAGTCGCAATTCTTTGTAAATATCTTTGGTACTCATATATTCGTTGACATCGTGTTCAGGTTTATTTACAATATGAGTGAGTAATTTATGATTTGCAATATCATCTGGAATCCATGCTTTTCCAGTAACAATAACAGTATCTTCTTCAGTAATCTCGAATTTATTACTGTCTATATAATTAAAAAATAAATGCAAAAACTAAATACAAATTATATAACTTTGTTATTTATAAAAAGATTCGCGTGTATGTATGTATGTGTGTGTGTGTGTGTGTGTGTGTGTGAGAGAGAGAGAGAGAGAGAGAGAGAGAGAGAAAGAAAGAAAGAAAGAAAGAGAGAGGAAGACACTTACATTTTTGTATTGAAAACTTCAGTTTAACTGTAGTCTCTTTTGATAAGTGAGTAGCACGAAGAAAGTTAACGTCTTCGAATATAATCGGTATTTCTTGATAATGACAGCATAACACCGACGCGATCAGTTTCCAAATAAAAAATAGATAACCTGAGGCCGGTAACAGAATTCTTCCGTCAATTACATGTTCAACCATATAATCGAAACGTATATCCGTGATTGTAATGATTTCAGTTTGTTCTCTAACGTCAGGTTTCTTCTGATGGTAAAACGTTACACTGTGCCAGGTTTCAGAATGATCCCACCTATAACAGCAGTATAAAATACAAACTATACTATTGTACAATAAATTTTTTTTTAAACCTTCTCATTCAAAAAGAAACATACTTTATTAGAGGAGATATCATTGGTGTTCCACGACTGACTGGAAACTGTATTGATGGATATAAGTTTGCAATTTGCGGTTGAAATCCAATATTATAAAGATTTCCAATTTCCTCTAAAATACTATTTATATCGTTACGTTGACCATGTTTAAATAATGAAATATAGCTTGAATCCAAACAATTATTTACAAAAAACTGCCAATTATTATACGACACTATTTCAATAACTATCACATTTTTTGGTATCAAAGGTAAAAGTTCCTCAAGTGGTGTTGAATTTACTACATTGTATGCATAATATTCAGCAGTAGATAACTGCGTAAGTGAGTTGTATGTTTTATTACGAGGCAAAAACATATTTAACCATTTCTTATTATAACTTTTTAAAGATTTACATGGTACTATTTGATTCAGATAGTTTACTAGGTGCTTCGATCTAATGTGTTTTAAATATTGATTACAAGCAGCAGAGTTATAATTACACTGAAAAAAAAAAAACAGTAATAATAAAATAACACAGTATGTACAGAGAGAAAAATACTCTTATACTTTCTTACCTGTTCTGCTTTTGTTTCTTTAAATGCAACACCCATATAATACGCTATTAAAATTGTTTCCTCAACAGTAAAAAGTTCATTCACATATCCGCACAGAAGTTCACCAATCGACTCACCGATTACGTAATCGGGCACAATTCCAATATGTAATAAGAGATCCACTATTGCAATCTATATAGAAATACTCATGATGTACAATGTGGAAATACATATATACATATATATACATATATATAAACATATTCTACTATAGATATCTTCTCAAGATATTATACCACCATCTAAATGCGATTGAAACTAGCTAAGTGCAGAAGTATTAAAATATAAATTAAACAAATTTTAAATTAAAAATTTAAATTTAATTGTCACGTAATCTTCACAATTCAACAGATGTAAGACATAAATAACATAAATATGTAAAAATAATTTTTTTACTTACCTGAATACCAATGATTGCTACGAATGATTTTATAATATCAGTGTAAGTATTTTCTTTTTCGTTGAATAAAATATCCGTAACACATATACCGTGTGGTTTAAGTGCTGCATCACATTTCTGAATTGTTTTAACAAATATTGGTAGTTCCATTAATTCTTTGCCTGAAAAATAACAGTTAAAAATATTTTTCATACATATAAATTCAAATAGTGTACATTCAAACATAAACATGCTTAAACAAACAAAAAATATATATTTCAAATAAATTAACTTTAAGATCAAATATACAGTAGACTCTTTTAAATTCGTTGTGGTTGTAAAGAAGAACAACAAATAATAATTAACGATAAAGTATAAACCACCATAGAAATAATGTGAGAGATAAACAACAACGACAATTACGTAATCTGAAACGTTTTAATCTATATTTTTAACTAACAATAAATTGGATATAAAATTGGATATAAAAACGTAATAAGTTGAATAAAGATAGAAATGAAAAAAGAAAAACAAATAAAACAAATTTGTAAACAATCCAAACATATTTTCTATAAGGAAACGTCAAATCATTGTGTATCAAAACCAAACATTTCGCATTCATTGATGTACTGAAAGATAGGAGATAAGATAGGATATAAGACCAAATATCACAAATAAAATAAATGAACAATTAATGAATAAATAGGACAGAGGACATATTGAAGTATATTGATTTCGAGTAGTTTTTTGAGTATTTTTAATATACATGCGTGTGCACATATGCACGTGTGTGTGTAGAATAATCGCAATTATTGTTAAAATAAATACCTATGCTACGCCATATGACATCTGTTCCGGGAAATAGAAAACAAATTTGTTTATTTATATTTGAGTAACATTCCAGCTTCTTAATTGATCTATGATTTTCTGTTGATCCAACTATAGTATATCCTCTATATGGGTGATGTTCTACATTTTTATTATAAGTGCAGTGTAAAAGAGCAATATATTCCACATCTATCGGCCGATTATGTACCTGTAACGTAATAAAA